GTGAGTTAATGGTGGAGACGATAGGATGGAGCGGGGTACCTTCTTTGTGCCTCTCTCTTAGATGTCTCTCATGTCCTTTGGAGTGCACTCTCATGCTCACATGTCCTTTGGAGTGCACTCTCATGCTCACATGCCCTTTGGAGTGCACTCTCATGGTCACATGTCCTTTGGAGTGCACTCTCATGCTCACATGCCCTTTGGAGTGCACTCTCATGCTCACATGTCCTTTGGATTGCACTCTCATGCTCACATGCCCTTTGGAGTGCACTCTCATGCTCACATGCCCTTTGGAGTGCACTCTCATGGTCACATGTCCTTTGGGGTGCACTCTCATGCTCACATGCCCTTTGGAGTGCACTCTCATGCTCACATGTCCTTTGGATTGCACTCTCATGCTCACATGCCCTTTGGAGTGCACTCTCATGCTCACATGTCCTTTGGATTGCACTCTCATGCTCACATGTCCTTTGTATTGCACTCTCATGGTGTTCATCTCTCATTAACGCTGTTGTTGTGCGCATATGCGGGCATGATACTCTTATGCGGCGACGGAAGCTCATTCATGCTCATCTCCCTCCCTAATCCGTCTCTCCCTAATCTCCCCCATTAACACAACTGACGTGCTTGGGTCCGTGGATGAAATTCCTTTCCAGCTCAGACCCCTGCTTGCTTGCCCATCGCCACATATATAACCTCTTGTTGTAACTGGTCTCTTGCTGGTTCAGCAGTTCAACTGCTGGATTATATTTTTTCCGCCTGAGGACAACCGCTTGTGTTGCGATCGAAACTTCGTGATTTATTTTATTTTATGCCTACGTGACTTTACCGAAAGAACCAAAGAGTATGGATTCCTGCAGTCACTAAAGCTTCAAATCAAGATTGAAAACACGAGCTTTTGGCAGAAAACTTCCTCAAAGTAATTTATTACCATTGGATCTCTGGAGGCGTCTCACTCTTGTCACAGTCAGAGGAAAGAATTACATATTTCAGTTTTGCGCTATGCCCTGAAGTATACTGACATTCAACGATTACAAGCCCCATTGTTACAATAAATAAATGTAGACAAAGCATATCTCCAGATGATATTTAACAACAAGGCAACTTGCTTCATGTTGTTTGAGTCTGGTGTCTTTGGAAACTGCGAAGAACAAATGTATGATCAGTGACAATCACTTGCCAACACAATCTGTAAAAGTTCTCTCCTGGCTAGCCAACTGCATTTTAGGCTGTTTTTCACTGGCACAACATTTTGTGTTTTGAGCCCTATTATCTATTGAAACAGAAACACATCTAGGCCACTACTTGTTTAGTCAGCACGAAACTTGAATATGTTGAAGTCCCACCAGACTGAACTGATCGCTTCCCATGCTTACTACCCACCCCCCCCCCCCCCCCATAGCCTATCATTAAATTTTGATTAAATTACATTTATTTGAGATGATGTCCGTTGGGCCACTGCTAATATATGGATATATTGTTCTTTTTTATTTCATATAGGCATAACAACAAGGTTTTTTATTTATTTCTCCCTTTCGTTTATACATGTTGGATATTTTTATTTTATTGAAGAGAAGGTTACCATATTTTTCCTGAATATATTACATTTGTGGCATTGTTCAAATTAAATTTCACAGGGTTTTTATGAGTGTGCACTCTATAAACATATTCTCAGATTCAACACAATTTTCTTTTAGCCAACTGGAAAAAATATTTTGGACAGCTGCTTGTCTTTTTAAATACTTATGTAATAAAGGACTCGACTGCGGTATCTGGCTTGGTGTCCTTTATTCGGGTTCGTCTTCTCTTTCCCCACACGGCTCTCTCCTTCAAGGCAGCCCCGCTGCTGATCCCTTCGTGCAGCCTCCCCGGCTGCTCTCACTGCAGCCTCACCACTGCTCCCCGTTCCTCCGGGGTCGGTCACCGCTGGCCGACGGTGCCGACCGTACTCTGTGTGTGTGGCGATCTCGCCACTCCTCCAGCCCTCGCCCTGCGTGGCCTCACTCTAGCCCAGTCTCCAATCACTCCCCTCCTCTTCCGGTTTCTCCCCTTTAAGACCTGAACCCTTACCCCCACGTGACGTAACTCCTCCCCCCCGTGACGTCACATCTGGAAGGTCGTTTATGCCCGCATTACACCACCCTCCCCCGTAGAGAAAACCCAGCCGACCTCGGCTGAACAAGGACTCCGACAAGTAATGCGAGCGAAACCGACCCAGACACACCAAAGGACACGAAGCATGCAATAAATATAACAGTAAGAACAATAACACAACATGAACAAGTAACGAGCGAAACCGACCCAGACACACCAAAGGACACGAAGCATGCAATAAATATAACAGCAAGAACAATAACACAACATGAACAATTAACGAAACGTAAGAGATTTAGAACGTGTGCGGGTCGCCGGCCCGTCCCGGACGGTCGGCGGCCCTCCCGCAGAGCGGGAACGTGATGGTGTTTTAAGAGCGACAGGCCGCAATCCTCCTGTCGCTGTTGGAGGCCCACCAGCGTCCCGGTCCCGTGTCCCCGAAGGCTCAGCCTCGGAGGTGTCCCGCGATTGTGCTTTCAGCGGGGTCGGAAGGGCTGCGGGGCTCGGAGTTCCCGCAGTCCTGGCAGGCACCCCCCGAGCAGAGCCCCTCGTCACCTGCGGTGTCACGGCCGGTCTGTCTGTCTTGGAGGTTCCTTCTTTGGCGCGTCCGTTGACGAGGCCTCCTGCTGGGGCGGACCCGGGATACGGGCCCAGCAGTCCCTGACGTAATGGCCCCTACGCCCGCAGCGGAAGCAGTCAACGTCGTTGCGCCGCATCGCAGGCCCCGCGTCCCGACGGCCCCGTGTCGGCGGTGCAGCGCGCGGGACCGGCCTACCGCGGCCTGACCATGGACCCGAGGCGGCCGTCAGCTCCTGCGGGCTCCCCTCATCCGGCATGTATACCGCCTTCTTAGGGTCCCAACCCATGGCACCTCCCTCGATGATGGGTCCCCCCGTCCACGCCACGACTTGCTTCCACCGGCGCAGGTTAAACTGGGCGTCCAGACATTTGGCTGCCGCCCGAGACGTCAGCTTCTCGTGGCCACACACCGGCATGGGGATCCCCAGATCCCGGGACAGCTCGAGCATCTTACCTAAGATGAGAGGCTCGAGCAGGTCAGGCTTCGTCTCCGGATATGCGGCCATAGCCAACTCCAGTACCGCACCCCTAAACGCCACCGGCGACTCCTCGGGCGCTCGCTGTCGTTGAGCAAATCGGCGATGAGCATCATCGGGTGGCTCGTAAGCATCCGCCATTTCGTCAAAAACTCCTCGTAATGTTTTCTTCTTTTCGGCCGTTATAGAACGAAAGAATCTGACCGACTCGTCATCCAGAAGAGTCGGCAGCACTTCCAAAGCCTCAGCGTCAGTCCACCTTGCAGAGCATACCGCCGCCTAAAATCTGCAGGCGAAAGCGCTCCAATCGCCCCCGATGGAGAATTCCTTGACCGTAGTAAGATGACGACTGCGACTCCTTGGCACGCCGTCCTCAAGCGATGAATCCTCCGGTGGCAGGTTCAAAATGGCGTCGCATCGCGGCGTGGTCAAGATGGCGGCTTCCCGTCGCGGAGAGCACAAGATGGCGGCCTCCCGCCGTCCTTCCCCCGCCACGCCCAAGATGGCGTCTTCGTGCCGCGTGGCTGATGGCGTCGACGGCGAAGGCAAGGCGGCGGCCTGTGGACCACCCTCGGCTCCCCCAAACGCCGTCCTCGGCGTGACGAGGGCACATAACTGCGCCAACACATTCTTGAGCGTCTCAAGCTGGTCCGCCATCTGTGCCCATCAGAAATCCACGTCCGTTGGTGCTGACGGGCCCGCCGACGCGGCGACATCTTGAACCCCCGGACCCGCACTCGCTCCAGCCCGGGTCTCCTCCACCAACGCAGCTGGGTCCATCGCTGGAGGGAGGCCGTCGTCGTCGGATGATGAAGCAGATGATGGCGTCGGAATATTCTTTTTCTTAGTTGCTTTGACATGCCGTTACACTTCTGACACCAGTGTAATAAAGGACTCGATTACGGTATCTGGCTTGGTGTCCTTTATTCGGGTTCGTCTTCTCTTTCCCCACACGGTTCTCTCTCAGAGACCCTCCGCTCCGCGGCCGATGCTGTTGTCGCTGTTGTAGCCTCTTCCTCCGTCCTCCAGCAGCCCCGCTGCTGACCTCTTCGTGCAGCCTCTCCGGCTGCCCTCGCTGCAGCCTCACCGCTGCTGTCTCTCTCCTTCAAGGCAGCCCCGCTGCTGATCCCTTCGTGCAGCCTCCCCGGCTGCTCTCGCTGCAGTCTCACCGCTGCTCCCCGTTCCTCCGGGGTCGGTCACCGCTGGCCGACGGTGCCGACCGTACTCTGTGTGTGTGGCGATCTCGCCACTCCCCCAGCCCTCGCCCTGCGTGGCCTCACTCTAGCCCAGTCTCTAATCACTCCCCTCCTCTTCCGGTTTCTCCCCTTTAAGACATGAACCCTTACCCCCGACGTGACGTAACTCCTCCCCCCCGTGACGTCACATCCGGAAGGTCGTTTACGCCCGCATTACACTTACACAAAAACTCTTTGTCAGCCTGGTTAGACTAACTGCAAGTTCGATGAGAAGTGTTTATTTAGATCAGCATAGAATTATTGAGAGGTATTGAGATACCCATTGAACTTTGGCCACCAACCTTATGGTAGTTTTGTGCAGAACCACCTGTTAATTACAATGTGTAACAACATTTTTTTTATTTTTTTGTTCCTGGGTAGTAAGTGTTATTTCCGATTTGCTTATGCCTCAAAAGTACAAAAAATTGCTATTATTACCCACAAACTTTGCTTTTGTGACCAGGACAGTGACATTTAGAAATTTACCTATTTTCCAGAACATTCCAGATAGATTCAGTGCTGAGTAAACTTGGAGTAACGTCTAGAACATTATAGAACTTTCCCGTAATATAAATAGTAGTATAAATACAGGGGTCTTAAGCCCACCAGTTCAGTTTAGTTCCAGCTGCCTAAGTGGATACATATCTGCATTTTTCTGAGATGGCATCAAGAGGCTGTAAGCATCCGGCAGACGCATTTTGCTATGTCTGCAGCCAATTTATCAAGACAAGAGTGAAAAAGTACTCTGTGGAAGCATCTGCTAAGATGTGTGAGGCCTACAAGGCATATTTCGGCATGACAATCGGGGACCAAGACAAACCCTGGGCACCTCATGTCACCTGCAAGCAATGCAAAAAAACTCTGAAAGGTAAGATAGACAATTGTTGCTCGGAATTGTATGTTATAAAATTTGTTACAATATTTTAAATTATAAAAGTTTTTAATTTTAAAATGTTATACAATTTTCAATGTTATTGAAAAAAGATATCATATATAAAAAATGTTGCGATAATCTTACACATTAGTCATGAGTGAAAACAAATTTTTAGGATGGTACAGAGGGGAAAAGAGAGCCATGAAGTTCACTATCCCAAAAATTTGTCAGGAACCCACTTGCCACTCAAGCAACTACTACTTCTGCATGGTGGACCCTTCCAAACGTCGGACTAGCAAGAATGCACCTGCCATCACGTATCCGGACTTTCCTTCATCCATCGCCCCGGTGTCACACTGCCATGAGCTCCCCGTACCCACTCCTCCGGAGAGAGAACAGCCGTGTTTGGAAGAGGATTACAACAGCACCAATACTTTGCTGGATGCCTTGAAGTATGATGAGTATGGCTGGGAGGTCATCAAAGACTTAAAATTGTGGCAATCCTGATGGGTCTCCAAGGCGGTTTTACCAAGTTTCCTTGCTATCTTTGCGTTTGGGACAGCAGATACACCACACCAAGGCGCACTACCACAGGTGGGACCGAGTTCTCTGTGGGGAGGAACAACATCAAGTGGGAGCCACTGGTGGACCCCCGGAAGGTGCTGATGCCACCACTGCACATCAAATTGGGCCTTATGAAACAATGTCAGTGCTGTAGATAAGGAGTCAGCAGCCTTCAAGTATATTCAAGACTTCTTCCCTGCCACAAGGCAAAGGTCAAAGCCAGTGTCTTCACAGATAAAGAAGATCCTGGAGTGCAATGAATTCCCCAAGAAGCTCACTGGTAAGGAGAAAGCGGCTCGGAACAGCTTTGTCGCAGTGGTTCGTGGCTTCCAGGGCAATCACAAGGTCGAAAACTATGTGGAGCTGGTTGAGACTGGTGAAGAACTACGGCAAAATGGGCTGTAAAATGTCCCTCAAAGTCCATATCTTTGATGCTCATCTTGATAAATTCAAGCAGACATGGGAGCGTAATCGGAAGAGCAAGGCGAGCGCTTCCACCAGGATATACTGGACTTTGAACACCGCTACCAAGGACAGTATAACTAGAACATGATGGGAGACTACATTTGGGGGCTATTTCGTGAAACTGATTTACAGTATAATCGTAAATCTCGAAAAACTACTCACTTCTAAATCTTTTGGAGTAATTTTTCTATTACTTTAGTATAAATAAATTTTAATTTTGATTAATATTGTTTTCTGACTTTATGTGAACGAAAATACACAAATTCGCCCGTTTTGTCATTGAAAATAGGTAAATTTCAAAATATCACTGTCCTGGTAACAAAAGCAAAGTTTGTGGGGAATAATAGCCCATTTTCTATACTTTTTAGCCATAAGCAATTACGAAATAACACTTACTACCCAGGAACAAAAATTGTGTTACATCGTGTTATTACATTCGATATATGCGAATACTAAAGTATCGTTTTAACTTTTTTTTTATCTCCCTTTCTTTAATGCTGAAAATATATATTGTGTATAACTTGTTTTGAACCATATGGGTGACTTATAAAGGGCCTTATTAAATGTCAGTTTTGGTTTATATCAAAAGCAGGAAATACAATATGACACGCCCATTTAACTTGCCTGGCCAAACATTTTAAAATGTTCATGAAGCTTCTTTTGCATTGAAGCTTAAAGTTCAAAGGGATCTAACCAGTTTAAATTACTATGTAATGTTGTGGAAAAAAACCCTGAAAATAGGTATACATCCATTTTTCCTGCTGTGATGTGGTTTTAAAACATACATTTTATAATTAAATATAAAAGCACATGCCATATGCCAACAATTATACTCTATTCCTATATGTTCTTGAAGCTCATTATTTTTAATGTAATGTATTGATGGGCGACTAAACAGAAATTTCATGCAATAGTAGTCTTCAAAACCCATTGCTTCATCTGTTCATTTAGCATACGTTTAAGGACTAGATACTGTGCCAAAGCTATTGTTTATCTAACATCACTACCCAAATTGCAATAAGGACAATGAGCACAAAAAATATATATTTGTTATATGTACTGCACCTTCAAGTATTTAACCATTTTCCTTAAGAGGGTTTTTTTTGGGTTAGATCGCGTAAATATAAATGTCGTTAAATCCACCATTAGTAAGGTTTGTCAGGTAAATAGAACATGCCAATTCGTTACTAGTTCAGCACACCCGTGTGTTGGAGAGTGAACCCAACACCATTTACAAAGTATGCGTACGTGACAAACCTTACGAATTAGCCGTCGGGTGGTGGCGGGTTTAACGACACACTTATACTATGGGGACCTCATTTGCCAGTAAAAATATGATAATTGGTTCTTTACCCTTCTATCTGGCAACAAAACTGACACCTTTTTGCAAGGAGTCATGTTTGCATAGACCGCAATACCTGCAGTCATAATGAGACTAGGCTCGAAGGAAAGCTGTCTCGGGTGTGGACCAATCAACTTCAAGGACAGTGCACATTATCAGAGTTATGTTCTTTTGTTTGTATTATGACTGCAGGTATTGCGGTCTATGCAAACATGACTCCTTGCAAAAAGGTGTCAGTTTTGTTGCCAGATAGAAGGGTAAAGAACCAATTATGACACACTTATATTCACGCAATCTAACACCATAAAAACCCCTCTATTATAGATATTGGTCGCGAAAGCATACATGTTAAATTGACTATTTATACAAATTTGAATTATATAAAACTATTGTTTATTTGGGCCAAATAACACTTTTTATGTATATTACTGGTCATCAGATGACCAATATGTTACAAGTTTGGGAAATTTCGATTTAAAGATTTCGTGACTGCAGGGATTCATCTTCTTGGTTCTTTCGGTAAAGTCACGTAGAAGGGAAGTAATAAAATAATAAAAATAAAAACTTGTTTTATTATGTTTAATTTTATTATTGTATTACTTCCCTTCTACGTGACTTTACCGAAAGAACCAAGAAGTTTGGGAAAACCAAACGCGTTCTAAAATATATTCAATCATCGCATATTTTTAATTACACATTCTCTTTAGAACTGATTGGTTTTATTGCATAGCTATTATCTGAAAAGTTTTATTGCTTTTTTAACTGTAACATATTGGAACTATAAATCATATTTTGTCCATTCCTTACAATAGTTGTAATCCCTCCAATTATCTTGTATGCCTTTAGTTGCATGGACACATTTCTGTAAGATTAGCTACCTAATCTCTATATTCTCACCATAAATCATATACTTGGGTTTGTAACGCTAAATGTTATACATAAAACTTTTTTTTACATAATCTATGACATATTTTGTGCTGAAACGTTTATTTATGAATAAAATACACTTGGGTATAATTGTAAAACTTGGCAACAAATTGGCAATTCATTGTAAACAGTGCCCATTGTTTTAATGTTAATATCATAAATAGAAAATGTATGTGGTTAAAATTGCTAATGTATACACAATTAGCTTGCTCAATTGTCCTCACATTCAGTGAATTATTTTCCGATTACAGTTTTACATTACGTAGGTAAAATGTGCAATCATAATTTTATCATTACAAATAACTAACTTTTAAAATTTTACATGAAAAGATACTAAGTGCTGGCACTTTGTTCCACTTTGTACTTATCTGGCCTATGTGTGATGAAGAAGGGCCATTTCCCTAAACGTCACCGATTATATCCTTTTTATTTTAAGGCAGTGTTATTGACAAATCTGTTGAGTTGTTTGTAGTGTTATTTTCTAACGTTCATTTACGTTCAATACGTTTGTTTACAAACGTCGATCAATTAAAACATGAAATCTACACGATGTTTTCCATTTAGATAAATAATAAAAAATGAGAAGTGAATACGTTACCAAAAGTACAAATTATACTTTACCTCTTATCCCTGGTGCACACATTTATTCATGCTATTTTAAGTGTTCAAAATGTCATGAGATCTGAATCTGCACTGACTAAAGTTGATCTCCAAAAATATTTCTGTCTTCGATAGGACATGCTGCCTGATTTTAAAGGCATTTTTCAAACATAAACAAACATTAAAGACACTGTGTAAAAACACAAATGGAGCTTATTATGAGTTATCAGATGTGTAAAACAGTTATTCTAAAATAGTTTTTAATAATGTGTGGATCTTTTATTCCCTCCGATATCCAATTGTTGCATTAACATTGTGGTAAACTTGTTTGGCACATGGGTCCTGACTAGGGCATTATGAAAAGCTTTTTGCCAATTTTCAGCATAAAATGGCCAAATAAATTTCACTGTTTTTCCACGATACATTGGCAAAGAATACATTCCCACAATAAATTCAATATATAATTGATTCGCATAAATGTCAAGTTGTTTGTGTGTCGAGATGCACGGGAAATATTGTCCTTTCCGTTTTTTAAAGGTAGTACTTTGCGTACCTCATCAGCCTTGAGGTCCGATAGTTATTTTAAATCCGACACGTTTTTGCAGGATTTGATTTGACACTATGTTGTGGCAGAATATTATTCCCAAGACGTTTTTAATCAATTATTTTTACTCACCTAAAAAAATAAACATGTGTACAGCATTCCAAAGTGGTTGGTTCATGAGCACTGGTAATTTTTTCGTTTGAATATGAAGATTCAAAATTTGTGTTTTTTAGATCATATACACTTGAACGAAAAAATATTACAAAAATGTGTTAATAAAAAACTCGATGTGGCACTTTGTGCTAAATATAACATAATAATTTTAGTTTCCTGCAAAAAAAAATTCAAACATTTTTTAATTGATGCATTTCATGCCACTTTATTAAAAAATATATAAAACATTAAACTTTTAAAACATGCATAAATCGCACTTTTAATTGCAGGCTCCTAATATGCACAATTAATGTTTAACCAACAATTCCTGATCTAAATATGGTTAGTAAATGACAGCATGTTCAAGTAAGTCTAACAACCCAGTGACTTTGTCTCCCTCTACAGGTAATGACAATGTCAATGTGAGCTGCTCAATTCAATTATTGAAGAAGTTCGCAATATGTGGAGGGAAAGGTGGGAGAGAATGCAAAAGAACACAAGGTACAACCATAAAACACATCAGAGAGCAACAATAATCACTGTGAGATCAGTTTATAAGATAATAGGAAACACAGAAAAAAATCCTGAATCTATTTACTGCAGGAATAAAGTACAGGATTTTAGGATTCAAAAGTATTTCAAGTGATAGAATTGCCAAATGTAAGTTAAGACTCTCTAATGAATACACGTTAAGTCATTCAAATGTATGCTCCAACAACAAGCCATCAATATGTATCAGTAGCCTACATGTATGAAGAGATTAACCAACATCTAAATGACATCAAAACACACTGCACCATAGGAAATGAGGCACTTCAATACCAGGGTAGGTAAGAGGGACGACAGGATGGTTGGTTAATTTGGCATCGGAGAGAGGAATAAGGGAGAATAACATCTGCGGGAGCTCACAGCCAAGAAATACATAAAAATAATGAAACATTATTTCGACAAAGAATCATATAACATCGTGTTATTTTACGCTCGTCCCTACAGCAAATTCAAACTCCACAGGTGAAGGATAGTTTTTCACATGATTTACAGATATCACACATGCGGGAACAACCACTGCCATTTTCAATATGAAAAAGGATAGCTCCAGTACCAGATGGAATAACTGGAAATCATCAGTGTAGCATAATTAGCTGGTGGTACACAGTTTGTCGACCTGTTTACTGAATGTTTACTCAAAATTTTAATACCCCAATCATGCCATGACTCTGCACTTACTCTTATTTAAAAAAAAACGGAGGCAAAACTGATTTAATCAATGACTGTATGTTATTTACCGTTACACAATTGACGCAAATATTACAATGTTAAACTCTGTAGAAACATTTTACACGAGGATAATGAAAACCTCCTTTCAAGTTGTACAATCGATTCTTGATATAGAAAAATACTCGATCATGTTTGGAAGCCAGTGATTAAATCTGATTGCATTATTCATCGCCTCGAATTGCTAAAGTTAGCACCTCAAAATATTTCACAATATTTGTTTCAAACAACAGGTTTAGCAGACACTACTGTGGTAAACCTACTGTGGTCAACCTTGTTTAATATAATAGATTATTGTTAACACAATGTACTGCCTGAACAAACCTCCACTATGGTGAAAATTAGAGTCCTTGTCTCCAGTCAGGAACGGCTCTGCAAAGAAAGACTGTATTTTATAATTTAAATAAAGCAGGTCATACAATTACAATTTAACTAATAATGATATAATGGAAATACATATATTAATATTTACATTGATTTAACTATGCTTATCTACATAACTAATGTACAGTGTACACTTATTAACACATCATCATGTGCAACTATGACATATACCAAAAGTATTAGCTGAGCATTTATATGATCAACTTTGGCATGCAGATTTAGATTTAGTTACTCCTATGAAACAAAGCTACATGCTAACAATTCACTCCATTAACTCACATCTGACAAGTGAAATTAATTACACTATATTTGTACATGGTCCATACCTGTGAGGGATTGTTAAAAGTGGACCTCCCCCAGAAGGCCCAATATGTTTGGTTCTTTCCAGCCAACCCTTAGTGAGCTTCAAGAGTCTGCTGGGGTCCCTTTCTACGTGCACATCCACCTGTTCCGGAACATCATCCAGATGCGCGTGCTTCAGCAAGAGCACGAACACTTGCCATTTTAAGAGACATTGCCCAGATATATTGTACTGTGAACTAAATCAAATAAAACACTCACTCTATAACCATGCATTATGCCAGATGCATAATTAATCAGTGCATGTTATTTCACAATTGGGGCAGCAACCCAAGTTGGATTGCCATCCATGGCTAATTTCAATGGGTAGAAACACCGAAAACGATTCCTGAGCCCTCCCTTCAACGTGGTGTATGGTCAAACAATCCTCAAAACCAACACAATATGCAAGGCATTAATCTAGTAATGAACTGACTTACCATAATGATAAGATACTATAATTAAACTGTTATAGTTTAATGTTTTCAAACTGTAAATATTAAGTTGTAAATACTTTTTTAGTTATTTAATTCCATTAAATAAACTCGGTGATAATTATGTGTAACTATAATGTAACTGTGTAATTATGCATTATTTATTATATGCTGGATGCCGGACATCCTCCATAACCAGAATGCTCTCCCCCCAATAAGCATGGCTTCAAGAGGTTTTACTCTATAGCCGTTTAAAATGTTCATAGCCTCCACTTGAATTATTTCATTAAGTTTCTGCAATGTACAAACGAATGGATAGAACCAATGTATAATATAGCCTAACCTCTAACTTCCTTACAATTTATTGTAAAATTTAAGTACAAATCCAACAAAAACTATTCATCATAAAGTATATAACAGTCCACATCCGCAAAGGCAAACCTGTTGTTTCAGTTTAGCAAGACGCCTGTCTCGTTCAATGTCTTCTTGCTCTTTGGCTTTCTTCTCCAGAAGTTTGCTTTCAACCTTCTCCTGATCCTATAATCACACGCAGGTACTGTATACATTATCTTAAACTCATATGCAGCGTGACAAAACACCACTCTTTATATTTTATCTAAATCTACGTAGATTTTATTTATTTTACAAAATAAACTTTACATGTTGTTTTCCTGGATTTCCGTCATAAACATTAACACGGATTCATGCTTGGTTTTAAACACATCAGGAACCTCTTGAATAAAAAAATTAAGGAGGAATTGCAAAATCACCCACTCGTTCCTGGAAACGCTGGATCTCTTGTGCGGCCAGACGAGCCTTGTCCTCCCGCTCGGCCTGCGCCCGGAGCTCTTCGTCTCGCCGTCGCTGCTCCTTCAGCTGCCGTTTCCGCCGCACATGCTCCCCGGCAATGACTCGAAGCTCAGCCTGGCGCTGCGTCTCACGTTCCCTGTGTCGCGCACGCTCTTCCTCCTCATGCTGCCGCCGCTTCTCCTCATCTGCCCGAGCCTGCACATCCCAATAATGCAGATTTAGCATGTGCATGACGAAAAGGTGCATCTTCTGGTGTGTAAATCAATCCACACGCTTATAAATCTAGAACTTAATGACACACTGTGTTAAACAGTGCCTTGTTGAGAGCTCACACAAACTCAATATATGAATCAATAATACTTCCGATCACATTACTTTCACCAATAACCATGTCTGTAAAGTACTCAGTTTAATATTTAGAATTTTGCAGCCCCGTTATACTTCATAATTGCAGGTGTTGGCTTTTACCTTTTCTTGCTGGGCTTTCCAGGCATTAATCTTTTCACGTTTCTGGAATTGTTCCTGCTTCAGCTTCTGTAACAAAGCCTCCTCCTGGTCCTTTTTCTCTGCATCTTGCCCCTCTGAACTTTTCTCTTGCTTGGCAAGTTTCTCTGCTCGCTCGCGCTCCCTGCATAACTTGGGATTTTGAGACGAGCAATGATGATGTGATTGATTCACTACGTATAGTTTAAAGTCATAGCCTTTTAAATTAGGTTTTGTATTTTAAGCCTTTTATTAACAAATGGACATGTTTCATGAATGTACGGCACATGTTACAATGTATAACTGGCACTCAATAGAGTACTTCATTTGACGATAAAACTAATCACTAAAAAAATTAAGTGACAAAATAATACCCATAATCCATGAGTAAGCATATAATAGTATCATGTACCTTCCAACGAGAAATTGCTTCCTTTTTTTCATCTTCCAGGTCGAGGAACTCCTTGTACCAGGTCTCATGCTGTTCCACATCTTCACGTGTCCGTCCAGGGAGATAATGTAAGGCCTCCTCTATAAACAGCAAGTTCCCCTTGTGCCTTGTCCGCACCTAAAGAAATAGTTGTTATATCCAGACTGGAAAGCAGAATATACCCATACCTGAAAACCTCTTGGAAACCAAAATCTATTGCTGACGATGCAACACATGGGGCGAGAGGTGTCATGACTAAAAGTTACTAAAAACTATTGTACCTTCAAAAAGTTTTGATGGTCATAGTCGTCCCACCCACCCTGTCGACCTCCACTCTGCTGCAGGAACTTCTCAAAGGCCACCACCTCTGCTGGCAGGTCATCCTCAATGGTTTTGGATAAAGGCACCTGTGCATCACATTTCAGTAAAATAATAATCAGAAGGGTAACTTAACACCAAAAACATGTAATTCTTTAAACTTATTGAGCAACATTCAATACAAATAATAGAATGTCGAAATATAATTAATTTATTTATATAATTGTACATGCTGGCATGCAACCTGTTAATAACACGGATTGGAAATATGGACTCTGATCATTAATGTACATGGAACAAAAGCTGAAACGTTTGTAAAGCATCGAGATATTGCAAATAAAAAACAGCATTGAAACATATGGATCAGAGAACACACACACATTATAGATATCACGTTGACTGTTCATGAAGCATGTGAGCATGGGCAAGACACAATGCTATAAGGTGCAGACAGCCGATGGATGAGACTGGTAATAGATTGGCAAAGGAAAAAACACACCCAAAAGGCCGATGACTCTGGAGATTGAGAAATGAAATTAGCTTATGCATAGGACCATAAAGCAGTGATGTACTATTTTATTTCCTTTCCTGAGTTAACAAAATGTACAACAAAATACGTTTTTTTCTGTTGCAATCAATATATATGTAATTGCCCCTGTTATCACACTACATAACGATTAAACATATTATAGCTTAGTGACCAAATGCAGAATAAAACTACACAAGTATGTAGAAATAGCATTGAGATTCGGTAAAAATATATCGCAAGCTGTAAAAGTTAATATTGTCTGCATTTCAAAATACATATATTTCAATAAGTCTCTAAAATGTGTCTGCAATGCAGAGACCTTAGCAGCAACAGCAGATTTTGTTATCCTGGGATTAGATGACCCCTGGGACCAGGATTCAATTTTCTTCTCCAAAGCACCAATCTCCTGACTTGTCATCTTCTCATCTTTCATTAGATGCTCATAGCTGCATATTTTCACGAAAACAGGCACATTTCCTTAATTGCACTTTAAATGAGTGCCTATGAGCAATACACGCACATGGATGCAAAGTCAAAACAGCATCGTAACTCACAACGTGACATTCAACAATTTTAACAAAAAAATTGTGTTAAAAGTATCACATTCATTTCTCTATGTAAGGTATGTTCTAAAAGAGATAATTTTCATGACCAAAATACTGTATAAACATGAAGGTAACATAAAAAGAGTTTGACAGTACATGTTTCAAGTATTTATGGGGATTAAAAAAGTTACCACTGACGTTTTTAAACTAGAGGTAACATTGTTATTAATGTTGCATTACATTATAACCTACCTGTAGCTCAATTCACACATCTAAAAAGCACACGCACTGTATACGTACAGTTCTCTTTGTTGTTCTTTAAAGAAGCTGATGGTTCTTTCAACCTCCTCCATGGTCCCCTTGAGCTTGTTGACAACTAAAAAACATTTTCATTTCCAGTCATGTATTTTAACTTGTATGTAATTCACACGACAGTAAGACAAAATGCGTAAGGTTTAAAGCAAAACAGACCAAAATAAGTATACTCACATTCTGAGTTCTGCGCAACATCCTTTAGTTCTTTTTGAAACAAGCGCACACAAGTTTTTAATTTGTTTAATTGCTGCTGCAACTTCAGTTCTGTCAAGACAACAATGAAATGAGTATTGCAATACAGCAAAACAATAATTATAGGAAATATCAGTCATGAATTTTCTGCAGCATATCAGAAATCATGTTGCCCTATACACAACTTATTTTTCCAGTACAGTAAAGATGCAATTCACCAGCATGTTTACTATTAAACTAATACTTTCACATACGAAAATGCGTTGGCAATACAAAGTAAATTCATGAAAAGACTGTCAGTATGAGCTTCGACACATCAATGTGCTATGCATTCGAAATACATTTCTGCATATTCATGTCATACCTTCAGATTTCCTATCATTTAGTAATTTGAGCTCATACTCCTCCAATACTCCGAGGTCATGCTTCAACTCACTCTTCTTACTGTAAAATTGTATGCGCTTTTCTTTCTCCAAGGCATTAATCCTATAAAGCCACCACCAACAGCACACAATGGATTATCAATAATCACACATTGACCATACATGACTCAACACTTGCCTATTGTAGTAAGTTATTTCATGGGACATAAAACAATACTGTAGAGCAGCCTTGTCATGACCTTGTTTCGAGTAGGTATACATATGTAGTGGGTTCCACGGAGGCAGACACTTGTACTTTGGAGGCAATACTATTATTACACACCCCAACAGGGTAACTACATAAACTACATAAACACTCGGGATAACTATGTGGTAACTACCACGGAGCTAGACCTCAACAAGGTCACTATATAAACGGGTCAGGTCAGTGAAGTACTGCCTGACACACGATGTCGAATGTGACGACCGAGAGGGAAGAGCGAAGACCGTAGCACGGCGGGTTGATTCCAGAAGAAAGCCTGGATCGAGGCTCGGCCTTTATGGGTCGCGGCATGGCTAGGCTCCGTCCTTGGCCACGTCCCTTTCCAGATCCTTCCCAAAGACTCACTACATCACGTGTCCCTCTCCCCTCCTTTTGGGCCCCCCTTGCCACCTCGTCCGGTCACGTGCCTTCTCGGGGTCACCCAAACTGTCATGTCCTCACTCGACCTCTCTCTCACTGTCACCAGGACTATGCCCCTTCGGGCCTGCTTCCATTGCATATCCACTCTGGTGCCCGAGAGAGGCCCAAGACACACAGCTCCACTATGGTGACGGTAGCTGGCGCTAAACGCCATAGTGACTTCATTTATGTCACTGCACATATGTAGTGACATAGAATCGGTCATGTAGCAGCATAGCGCTGGCTGCTGGCAGGGAAGAGGATCTGCAGCTTACAGCAGCCCTGACTGACAGAAGGCCACGTGATAGACCAGACAGGGATCTAGGGGAAAGGTGACGGAGGGACATATCGAGAACCCGCTAGTAGGTTCCAGAAGGGGGCGTGGCCGAGGGCAGAACCAGGCCACGCTGACAGTAAAAGAGGGGCCCCGGGAGGGACCTCAGGGCTGTCGTTTGGAGTGAGATCCCATCGTGCTGCTGGAGTCTTCACCGTCATCTCCGTATTCGCCATCTCGGAGTCGCCAGTCAGGCAGTCTACCAGCTGTCCTGACTGGGAACTGTAGTTACCAAGTGTTAACAGTTAGGCTGTGTTAATAAACAGAGTGCCTCCTACTCTTAGTGTCTCTGAGTCAGTCACTACACAAAGACTGAGGGAGCAACGACACAAACGTAAAACAAACTTCAAACAAATGTTAACCGCTAAATAGAATTGGTAACTATGAGGCTACATAGCCCATCACTTAGTTGCCACTGGGTTTAAATTTTGCACCAACATACTGTATTTTTACTTGACTATAACAATGTATGGACGGCTGAGCAGCCTATCAATGCTGCTGTATATTAATACCTTATATCTACATACAAAATACCGTCATGTCAAGAAAGTTGAAGTACAGTATTACCAAAGGTATTTAATTTGTTTATCCGTTTTAGACATGGGATGGTGATCATCTGTTTATAGCCTCGAGTGCCTGGAAATTCCACATATGGTGGAGAACAGTCCAACCTGTTAACTTCCCACAAAGTGGTACTTGCCATACACTCATTCATGTTAACAGCAACAAAATACCAATGTAGGACACTCCTGAAAGTGTCTTTGAACTCAATGAGGCTTTTTTTTAATAATTACCATTTTAATAAAACGTAACAATTATTTTGTATTTTACCAGGTAAGGCCCACTGAGCTATATAGTTATTTTTCAGAAACGAACAGTCCACAAATACTAGCTCAAAATAGTGGCTTATCACATGGACATTTACAGCAGCCACATACTCTGAAGGCATGTTTCTAAACGTGTAGGGAAAATCCGGACCCAGGAGGAAAATCCACGCGACCACGAGAACATGCAAACTCCAGATATTGCGCAGGCGTCAGGATGAGGACCGAACTCGCGGACCTCATGTATACCAGGCGAGATAGTTAACATTCTATTCTATTTCGGATTTAGATAGCGCCCATTCTATCTCGCCACCGTGGCAAGATGTGAACTAACATTTAAAGAGTGCCCGAATCTCAAAACACATTTAAGTAAAAGTGTTTTGGTGAAAAAAGAAAAGAAAAACAGCATTCGACAAATTAACATAATAAGAATAAGAATGCAATACGGAACTGTGCCCGCAGCGACTGTCCATCTCGGATCCAGGCGCCCGGGTTGCCTGGCCGCTCCGTCCGTGCAGCTGCGTGCATCGCCTGCCCAGTGAGCAGCAGCAGCAGCAGGCGGTGGCTAATCTGCAGCAGGAGACATTGTGAATCATCATCTGCAGCACTGTAACAGTCGCTAAGTCATTATCATCAGGAAGAGCAAGTAAGCATTGGGGTATGTCTAAATTTGAAGTTGTTGTTTTTTTGCCCACTTCAGCAATTGTTTATTGCTGTGGTTGTTTCCACCTGATGGCGGGCACTTGTGTTGCGCCCGAAACGTCGTGATTTAATTTATTTTGTACCTACGTGACTTTACCGAAATAACCAAAGAGCATTGGGTTATGTCATTGGAACCTCATTTGCCAGTAACAAAATATAATTGGTTTTTTACCCTTTTATTTGGCAACAAAACGGACACCTTTTTTAACATGGAGTCATGTTTGCATTGACCACAATATCTGCAGTCGGAATGCTAAAAAAAACACAACTCTAATAATGTATGCACTGTCCTTGAAATTGATTGGTCCACACTCGAGACAGCGTTCTTTAGAGCCTAGTCTCACATGGTGTTGGACCAGATGACGCCAAAAGGACCAATCAATTTCAGGGACAGTGCATACATTATCAGAGTTGTGTTTTTTGTTTGCATTCCGACTGCAGGTATTGTGGTCAATGTAAAAAAGGTGTCAGTTTTGTTGCCAGATAAAAGGGTAAAAAACCAATTATCATTGGGTTATGGTTCGTTATTCATCACTTGCACGTGAAGGTGATCTTAATCAGCGGGTAGCAGCAGCAGGTGCAATTAATCCTCGGGAAGAGTTAAACAGCAGCATGAGTAGTAGTTAAGCGTTAAATGAGAAGCATCACCAGCTTTGGAAAGAGAGAACGTCAATATCAGCAGGAGTCGCAGCTAATGACTTGCATCAGCAGTGGATAATAGCAATGCAAGCGTGGCGAAGGGTAAGGAAGCAACTACTGTCGGTGGCACATTGTCAAAAACAACAAGTTATATATATATTGACGAATAGGAGAAATATAAAAAATCGGCAAACAGCAGAATGCATTTACAGTAACACGCATCATGGCAACGGTACTGAATAACAACTGCAATCAGCAAATGTTATTCATAATAAACAATAGCAGTAGTACAACAATCATGATAAATGAATGAGAAACAGTACCAGAACAACAACAACAATACAACTTGCTTCGGCCGCTGTAGGAGAGCAACGCCTCAACGGTGTCGCTAGGCCTCGGCGTCTCCATGGCGACGGGGCCATCAACATCCGGGTCACGGCCCTGCCACAGCCACCGAGTGATGAGTCATCAAGTGCCAGGATGTTTCATTGGAGATTGGAGGAATCCGATGAGCTGTAAAGCTCTTTGTACACACGGATGTCCAGTAAGGGGTGGGGGGAGGGGGGGCAGGTCGGAACGTTATATTATAACAACAATACGAAAAAAAATACACAATAGCAGTGCAGAGTGTAGGAAAGGTAAATACATCACTTTAAAATAAAATAATTATATATACAAATTCTTAAGTTTTTTCGGTAATTATTATTTTATTATTTTATTTTATTATTATTTTACTTTTTAATGTTTTTTGACCTACGTGACTTTACCGAAAAAACCTAAGAATATGAATCATTGCAGTCACGAAAGCTTCAAATCTAGAATTATATATACAAAATAAAAAAAAATTAATCTGAGCAGGTAAGATCCACTGTGCTACTGGCTCCTTTTTCAGAAGCGAGCCAGCCACAAATGATAGCCCGAATGAAGCGGCTTATCACGTGGAAATGTTTAGCAGCCAAATACCCAAACCGCGTGTCGATTCGAAATGTGAAAGGGGAGAAACTGTGGGACCCGGAGAAAAACCCACGCGACCACGGGGAGAGAGACACGCAATCTTCCCTGATTCCCACATCTCCCTTCCCTGTCTCAATCTTGCCTCCCTGATCCTCCTTCCCACTGCATGTCGCTCAACCTCACTCTCCTTTTTCCGTTTTGTTCTCTCCTCTCCGTTTCATGCCTCTTTCACTCTCTCCCCTGCCCCTCTCCTCACCGTCTCTCCCTCCATCTCCCTCACCTCCCTCCATCTCCCTCACCTCCCTCCATCTCTCTCACCTCCCTCCATCTCTCTCACCTCCCTCCATCTCCCTCACCTCCCTCCATCTCCCTCACCTCCCTCCATCTCCTCACCTCCCTCCATCTCTCTCACCTCCCTCCATCTCCTCACCTCCCTCCATCTCCTCACCTCCCTCGATCTCTCTCACCTCCCTCCATCTCTCTCACTCCCTCCATCTCTCTCACCTCCCTCCATCTCCCTCACCTCCCTCCATCTCCATCACCTCCCTCCATCTCCCTCACCATCCCTCCATCTCTCTCACCTCCCTCCATCTCCCTCACCTCCCTCCATCTCCATCACCTCCCTCAGCTCCTCACCTCCCTCCATCTCTCTCACCTCCCTCCATCTCATCACCTCCCTCCATCTCTCTCACCTCCCTCCATCGCCCTCACCTCCCTCCATCTCCCTCACCTCCCTCCATCTCTCTCACCTCCCTCCATCTCTCTCACCTCTCTCCATCTCCCTCACCTCCCTCCATCTCCCTCACCTCCCTCCATCTCTCTCACCTCCCTCCATCTCCCTCACCTCCCTCCATCTCCCTCACCTCCCTCCATCTCCCTCACCTCTCTCCATCTCCATCACCTCCCTCCATCTCCCTCACCTCCCTCCATCTCTCTCACCTCCCTCCATCTCCCTCACCTCCCTCCATCTCCCTCACCTCCCTCCATCTCCCTCACCTCCCTCCATCTCCATCACCTCCCTCCATCTCCCTCACCTCCCTCCATCTCTCCTCACATCCCTCCATCTCCTCACCTCCCTCCATCTCCTCACCTCCCTCCATCTCCCTCACCTCCCTCCATCTCCTCTCACCTTCCCTCCATCTCCCTCACCTCCCTCCATCTCCCTCACCTCCCTCCATCTCCCTCACCTCCCTCCATCTCTCTCACCTCCCTCCATCTCTCTCACCTCCCTCCATCTCCCTCACCTCCCTCCATCTCCCTCACCTCCCTCCATCTCCTCTCACCTCCCTCCATCTCTCTCACCTCCCTCCATCTCTCTCACCTCCCTCCATCTCTCTCACCTCCCTCCATCTCCCTCACTCCCTCCATCTCTCTCACCTCCCTCCATCTCCTCACCCTCCCTCCATCTCTCTCACCTCCCTCATCTCCATCACCTCCCTCCATCTCTCTCACCTCCCTCATCTCCTCACCTCCTCATCTCCCTCACCTCCCCATCTCCCTCACCTCCCTCCATCTCCCTCACCTCCCTCCATCTCCCTCACCTCCCTCCATCTCCCTCACCTCCCTCCATCTCCCTCACCTCCCTCCATCTCCCTCACCTCCCTCCATCTCCCTCACCTCCCTCCATCTCCTCACCTCCCTCCATCTCTCTCACCTCCCTCCATCTCCTCTCACCTCCCTCCATCTCCCTCACCTCCCTCCATCTCCCTCACCTCCCTCCATCTCTCTCACCTCCCTCCATCTCCCTCACCTCCCTCCATCTCCTCACCTCCCTCCATCTCTCCTCACCTCCCTCCATCTCTCTCACCTCCCTCCATCTCCTCACCTCCCTCCATCTCTCTCACCTCCCTCCATCTCTCTCACCTCCCTCCATCTGCTCCTCACCTCCCTCCATCTCCCTCACCTCCTCCATCTCCCTCACCTCCCTCCATCTCCCTCACCTCCCTCCATCTCCATCACCTCCCTCCATCTCTCTCACCTCCTCCTATCTCCCTCACCTCCCTCCATCTCTCTCACCTCCCTCTATCTCTCTCACCTCCCTCCATCTCTCTCACCTCCCGCCATCTCCCTCACCTCCCTCCATCTCCCTCACCTCCCTCCATCTCTCCTCACCTCCCTCCATCTCTCTCACCTCCCTCCATCTCTCCTCACCTCCCTCCATCTCCCTCACCTCCCTCCATCTCCCTCACCCTCCCTCCATCTCTCTCACCTCCCTCCATCTCTCTCACCTCCCTCCATCTCTCTCACCTCCCTCCATCTCCCTCACCTCCCTCCATCTCCTCACCTCCCTCCATCTCTCTCACCTCCCTCCCATCTCCCTCACCTCCCTCCATCTCCCTCACCTCCCTCCATCTCCCTCACCTCCCTCCATCTCTCTCACCTCCCTCCATCTCCTCACCTCCCTCCATCTCTCTCACCTCCCTCCATCTCTCTCACCTCCCTCCATCTCCCTCACCTCCCTCCATCTCTCTCACCTCCCTCCATCTCCTCACCTCCCTCCATCTCTCTCACCCCTCCATTCATCTCTCGCACCTCCCTCAATCTCCTCACCTCCCTCAATCTCCCTCACCTCCCTCCATCTCCCTCACCCATCCTCCATCTCTCTCACCTCCCTCCATCTCTCTCACCTCCCTCCATCTCTCTCACCTCCCTCCATCTCCCCACCTCCCTCTATCTCTCTCACCTCCCTCTATCTCTCTCACCTCCCTCCATCTCCCTCCCTCCTCCATCTCCCTCACCTCCCTCTATCTCTCTCACCTCCCCTCCATCTCCCTCACCTCCCTCCATCTCCCTCACCTCCCTCCATCTCCCTCACCTCCCCCCATCTCTCTCACCTCCCTCCATCTCCCTCACCTCCCTCCATCTCTCTCCACCTCCCTCCATCTCTCTCACCTCCCTCCATCTCCCTCACCTTCCTCCATCTCCCTCACCTCCCTCTATCTCTCTCACCTCCCTCCATCTCTCTCACCTCCCTCCATCTCTCTCACCTCCCTCCATCTCCCTCACCTCCCTCCATCTCCCTCACCTCCCTCTATCTCTCTCACCTCCCTCCATCTCTCTCACCTCCCTCCATCTCCCTCACCTCCCTCCATCTCTCTCACCTCCCTCCATCTCCCTCACCTCCCTCCATCTCCCTCACCTCCCTCTATCTCTCTCACCTCCCTCCATCTCTCTCACCTCCCTCCATCTCTCTCACCTCCCTCCATCTCCCTCACCTCCCTCCATCTCTCTCCACCTCCCTCCATCTCCCTCACCTCCCTCCATCTCTCTCACCTCCCTCCATCTCCCTCACCTCCATCTCCCTCACCTCCCTCTATCTCTCTCACCTCCCTCCATCTCTCTCACCTCCCTCTATCTCTCTCACCTCCCTCCATCTCCCTCACCTCCCTCCATCTCTCTCACCTCCCTCCATCTCCCTCACCTCCCTCTATCTCCCTCACCTCCCTCCATCTCTCTCACCTCCCTCCATCTCTCTCACCTCCCTCCATCTCCCTCACCTCCCTCCATCTCTCTCACCTCCCTCCATCTCCCTCACCTCCCTCCATTTCTCTCACCTCCCTCCATCTCCCTCACCTCCCTCCATCTCTCTCACCTCCCTCCATCTCCCTCACCTCCCTCCATCTCTCTCACCTCCCTCCATCTCCCTCACCTCCCTCCATCTCTCTCACCTCCCTCCATCTCCCTCACCTCCCTCCATCTCCCTCACCTCCCTCTATCTCCCTCACCTCCCTCCATCTCTCTCACCTCCCTCCATCTCTCTCACCTCCCTCCATCTCCCTCACCTCCCTCCATCTCTCTCACCTCCCTCCATCTCCCTCACCTCCCTCCATCTCTCTCACCCTCCCTCTATCTCCATCACCTCCCTCCATCTCCTCACCTCCCTCCATCTCCCTCACCTCCTCCATCTCTCTCACCTCCCTCTATCTCCATCACCTCCCTCCATCTCCCTCACCTCCCTCCATCTCTCTCACCTCCCTCTATCTCCCTCCCTCCCTCCATCTCTCTCACCTCCTCCATCTCTCTCACCTCCCTCCATCTCCCTCACCTCCCTCCATCTCTCTCACCTCCCTCTATCTCCCTCACCCTCCCTCCATCTCTCTCACCTCCCTCCATCTCTCTCACCTCCCTCCATCTCCCTCACCTCCCTCCATCTCTCTCACCTCCCTCCATCTCCCTCACCTCCCTCTATCTCTCTCACCTCCCTCCATCTCCCTCACCTCCCTCCATCTCCCTCACCTCCTCTATCTCCCTCACCTCCCTCCATCTCTCTCACCTCCCTCCATCCCTCTCACCTCCCTCCATCTCCCTCACCTCCCTCCATCTCTCTCACCTCCCTATATCTCCCTCACCTCCCTCCATCTCCCTCACCTCTCTCCATCTCCATCACTCCCTCCATCTCCCTCACCTCCCTCCATCTCCCTCACCTCCCTCCATCTCTCTCACCTCCCTCCATCTCTCTCACCTCTCTCCAT